TACCTATCCCCAGTAAATATTACTATTCAAGTCTCTAAGGGAAAATATCTTGAAATCTTTAAAAGTCTTAAAGCAAGTGTTTTCATCTAGTTAGTTTGCCTAAAATAACTGAAACACCTGATGGCAACATCAGGTCCCAGTCTTGAAGAACTCTTCAGGCAAGTTATTTAAAATTCAGTGCTTTTTTATTTTTAAACAGCAAAGATTTTAAAATTCAACACAAAATAAAGGCCAACAAATATTGTAGCCCCAATGCCTTAATTTAAACTCTACACTGGGCTCCTGAAACATCTAGACATTTTTATTTTGAATTTTTAAATTTTTATTTTAGTTTATTTGAACCCATGCCCATTTCCTGACATAATAGGAGCTTCACACAATCATCTATATAAAAAAACCCCAAAAGCATCAACAGCAGAAACATTTTCATAGATTTCTATTATCCATCCAATTACTTATCTGGATCCTGACTTTAAGCATACATAAATACATGGTTGAGAATTTTACCCCCAGACCTATCAGTTTCTGTGCATTAGTTGACAGCAATTTAGGACTGCGGTTAGTATTTCCACAACAGTGGGGTTCTATCTTAGTAGCTTGTGGAACACTTGCTCATTATCAACCAGGAATGCATTAAAAGCCATGATACAGTGATTTTCAGTTAAGTTCTAAGAAAGCACCAGACAACTGCTTTACAGAATACTTGGATAATAATTTCTGTGCAGTATTTGTTAGAATTTTTTACCTTCTGCTTTCCTATCACATCTGCAAGATCTAGTTGGTCTAGTTTTATATTTTTCAAAAACATTCATACATTTTTGGTTATTACAGAATCTTCCTTTCAGCCTTTGCTAAATTCTTTACTAACTAACCAATGTTACACTTCACTTAAACTGTGCAAGTAGAAAAAACAGGCAGCAGACCTTCCCAGACCCCGACATCTGGCATCCCTTCTTATTCTGCTGAACTCTACCGGCACTAATGGAAAGACTACGGAGAGGGTGTCGAGCTTTTTGCAGCAATCCCTAAAAGCAAATTTTCTCCACGACCCAGAAGAGGGAGCCAGTTTGTTTCCCCTTCACCAGAACTCAGCCGCTCAAACCTTTTAGATTAAAAGTAAACGGTCACGGATTGCTTTTTGTTGCCTTTCTTCACCATCCATGCTCAAAACTAGAGCAGAGAGGTTCCAGCAACCAGGGTTTGGCTCGTTGCTTTTTCTAGGTTGTTGTTTAGTAGCCTTAGGCAACTGCAAACGTCTCCATGTCAGTTTTTTTAAGTACTGTTTGCAGTAGAAGTCAGCAGAATAAAAAACGTCTACACCAAAAAAGTTGCTGTTGTAAAGCTCTTTAGCTTTAGTATCATGGAGTTAGAGCCCCCCTGAAAAGGAGGATATGTTACAGCCAGCAGAAGTACAGACTTTTTTTTTTGATACAAGGAAGGAGTGATTTTATTTCACTTACTTGTAAAGTAGCCCTTTTTTTGGGCATAAAATACTCCAAGGCCACACAATGCCATTACCAGAGCCACAAATACTACAGCAGCGATGATACCACTTACATTAAGGTCATCTGTAATCATAAAACATAAGTCCAATGTTGGAAGTTGTAAAAATTTCCATTGGTTGGATTTTTTTCCCCTAATTACTACAGGCACCTTTTGTATCTATAAGTGGTCTTTGGTACAAGCTGTGTAAGTTAATTAGCAACACTCAGATGTAGATCAGAAGCCCAAAAGCATTACTATATCACAGCCACAGTAACAAGAGTGCCTAATACACCTGAACTGCTTACTTTGGGTCAAAAGGAGGGAAAGAATAAGAGAGGTCAAGGGATACACACTCCTCATAATACCTATCCCCAGTAAATATTACTATTCAAGTCTCTAAGGGAAAATATCTTGAAATCTTTAAAAGTCTTAAAGCAAGTGTTTTCATCTAGTTAGTTTGCCTAAAATAACTGAAACACCTGATGGCAACATCAGGTCCCAGTCTTGAAGAACTCTTCAGGCAAGTTATTTAAAATTCAGTGCTTTTTTATTTTTAAACAGCAAAGATTTTAAAATTCAACACAAAATAAAGGCCAACAAATATTGTAGCCCCAATGCCTTAATTTAAACTCTACACTGGGCTCCTGAAACATCTAGACATTTTTATTTTGAATTTTTAAATTTTTATTTTAGTTTATTTGAACCCATGCCCATTTCCTGACATAATAGGAGCTTCACACAATCATCTATATAAAAAAACCCCAAAAGCATCAACAGCAGAAACATTTTCATAGATTTCTATTATCCATCCAATTACTTATCTGGATCCTGACTTTAAGCATACATAAATACATGGTTGAGAATTTTACCCCCAGACCTATCAGTTTCTGTGCATTAGTTGACAGCAATTTAGGACTGCGGTTAGTATTTCCACAACAGTGGGGTTCTATCTTAGTAGCTTGTGGAACACTTGCTCATTATCAACCAGGAATGCATTAAAAGCCATGATACAGTGATTTTCAGTTAAGTTCTAAGAAAGCACCAGACAACTGCTTTACAGAATACTTGGATAATAATTTCTGTGCAGTATTTGTTAGAATTTTTTACCTTCTGCTTTCCTATCACATCTGCAAGATCTAGTTGGTCTAGTTTTATATTTTTCAAAAACATTCATACATTTTTGGTTATTACAGAATCTTCCTTTCAGCCTTTGCTAAATTCTTTACTAACTAACCAATGTTACACTTCACTTAAACTGTGCAAGTAGAAAAAACAGGCAGCAGGATTTTTTTTTTTTTTTTTTTTTTTTT